GAAATGAAGTAACTGATTCACGATGCCTGTCAAGATCAAGCAACAATTACACCGCAAACAATTCCCGTAAAGACTGCAACGAAGCAGATCGTGGCTGTCGGTCGTTAATCGATCGAGTGATGAGCAATTCAAAATGTGGAGAATGTGGAGGGCGACCGCAGTTTGACTCGACTTCTGTGCCACATTCAACACAACACCGTGTTACCGTGAAAAGCAATCACATCAAGATGATAAAACATTCATTCAGTTCCAAGGTCCGCTGTTGCTTTGCGTCACGAACACGGCTGCTTCAGGAACCATTCCAGTGGTTCAAGCTGCCAAATACACACAACGGTCCAGATGCATAAACTCGAAAATGTCTGGTCCTTTGCTCAATCGAGTCACCTTGTTGGTGGACTGCTTCTGGACCACCTTCTCTGCAGAAAACCAGCCAAAGAATTTAAAAGATAATTTCCGAAGACTGCTTCAACTCCTGTAGCATTTTCCGAAGTCACAGTGCAGATAAGCGCATAAAGACTTCGCATTCAACCAGGAGAAAATGCAACTCATTAAATTTGCAATAAAGCTTTGCAAAGTACAAAACCACATCGTGTTTCTGATTTCCATTTCAGTATGACAACAGCATAGGATATAGCTTGTCCAGCGAAGTTTACTACGGAAATACAACCTAAGGCATACCACAAACATGCCATGGAAGAAACTGAAGCAAAATGATAAATGAACAACGAAACTTAATATTTGACACTTTATTGAAGTGTAAGAATAAGAACTATACAATGGAAATTAGTCACATTTTTTCATATTTTATCACGTGACCACAACTGACGCACCTTCTGCTGTACAACGATGATTCAGCGTCAAAACTTTCTTCTCCATGATCATGAACGTGCAGCACCTTCTTCTTGAAAAAAAGATCATTCCTTGTTTCCTTCTTCAATTCTAAATATTCACCCAAAATCAAAGCAGAGCACCACTGCAGCTAGAATAAGAAAACAGAACATTCCACGCGGGAGATTACTTACATGGTCTTCATGTTTCTTAAGAGATTACGGGATTACTTTGCACAAATCCTTTATTAAATAGATCATCAACGTTTCGAGCTATAGTTCGTGTTATTCACAATCGCTATGAAGTAATACTCAGAGCAACAGCCTAGGTCTTACCCATTCAGCCATCAAAATACCGAAATAAATGTATATACAAATTATTCACAGCCTACTTTACATAAATGTTTCAACCTCCATAAGCAGACTGTAAATAATGAATACTGACAGGAAACTTCAGTGTATTTCAGATCTTAGATAAAGACCAGAGATTACTCCAGAGAACAATTTCGAGCCAATAAAAATTTTGGACGATCTAACTAAGAAGGAATTAAAGGTGCTGAAGAATCTCAGACGAAATCATCGTGATAATAAAGGCAGACAAAGGGAACGTTACGGTTGTGATGAACAGGAACGCGCATCATGAAAGATATAACTATATCCATCGGTCTGGATACTCTCGTTTAGCTGAAGATCCAATGCAACACTTAATTCTCCGTTTGGCGAAATTTATTTCACATCTGGGAAATAACAAAGAACTAGAAATTGAAAAGGCTAAATGTACGTCAGCCAAGTTAAGGTTGAAGAACAGCTTCGGCATTCGAGAGTCTTACTGCTTACCTAAGACCCGAAAACTTGGAATGTTCATGCGTCCTATAGTCTCCTTTATAAGCAATGTTCCATTCTTTATATCTTTCTAATCAGACAGTTTTGGCCAGTTATGCCGGAAACTTCAACTCATATTTACAACGCTTTGGGAATTTCGTCCTACAGCCGCATGATTCATGAGCCAAAAAAAATATCACCTTAATAAGTTATGAAGCCTCAAGCATACTCCATAAAGTCGACTTTGGTGTGGTAAAGGATAAAATGACCCAGAGCTTAAACATAAGACTACTCTTTCAGAGAAGTCTACCCAGAAGATTCTCAAGATCTGCCTGGTGGACTACAACGATTTCCGGTATAACGGTGAGCAATTTCAACAAAACAGCGGAGCTCCAATGGGTAACTCTTTACCACCAATCGTTGCCGAAACTTTTACGGAACACTTGGAAACAGCTGCGTATCAAACATCAACCAACAACAACCAACCAGTGTTTTATAAACTAAATGTACACAATATTTTGCCATTTGCAAAAGTGGCACAGAATTTTCTTTCCAAGACCATCTGAACAATCTCTTTCCAGACGACATAAAACTCACCATCGAAACTGAACAAAAAGACATTTTACACGTTTTAGACTTCTGTTACGCAGAAGGAAGGAGACGTGTTTTATAACAGAGGTTTATCACAAACGTACGTACATCAATCATCCGCATGAAAGGCATTGCTAAAATTTGTCAGCAGATGTCAAAAACTGAGTTATGATAAACAAGGCATTCGGAAAGAACTGAAATACACCAAAAAAAATTTCAAAAAGACAATAGTAATCTCAACGCCTCGTGAAAGAAGCCATTCACCAACAAATAAATCATCCAGGTATGCGAATTAAAACCAAAATTCGTGAATTTATTAAGAAAGTAGTACATCTGCCTTACGTACATAACCTGAGCCAAAGGCTTCATAGGAATGCTTTACCTCTCGTCTTGAAATTTGTGTTCAAGTTCGAATCTACCCTTCGGAGTCTACTAGCAAATGTCAAAACGAAGGTGCCGTAGGACGAACAATGAGGATGGGTCTACAGTATATCATACAAATGCGATGAAGCTTACATCCGGGAAACTGACAATTCCATCAAAGAAGGAAAAAAGGAACAGATGGATAACCTTACGAGATGGAACAACGCTGAAATAAGAGAAAAAGACACTGCGCAACAACGGCGAGGTAGAAGGTAGACGACGGATCCCATGATTACTGAAGAAGAATGCGAAAACAATTCGGCTGTTGCTCAATAATGTTCATCATTGAAGAATCATGAAACAGACTGGCAATGCACCAGCGCAATCTGTCCAAAATGAACAATAAATTTTGAAAATTATGGAAGCTCTGTTCATCAAGGTCAACAGATGCATGAATAGAGACAAAGGCATGGGCCTGAGCGATATCTGGGCGTCAGCTGTTAAAAATACGTTCTCAACATTAGTCGATGCGCAGCCCAAAATTATGACTCCCATCATAGATCAAACTTTAACTTAATAGTTTGATCTTGCATATCTGCTTATATACCAGTACACTGACAATGAGCGGAGTATGACTCGAACGTTTGTGATTTTTGTAATAAAATATACATGCGGAGTTATCCAGTAAGAAACTTGCAAACCGTGAAATACAAAATTATTATATACGACAAGAATTAATTCTACTCTCAGAAGTGGCAAATCCGAAACTGAACACACGCTTGCCATTTGTTTGCATAAACAAAAATTGAAATTCCTCAATAGATGAAGCAAAGGAAGTTTAACAGAATGTATGAAAAAGACATTACTTGATATACATTATGCAAAGCACACTCCACAACCAGCTGAGGAACGAAAACATATGGTGGAAATACGTAGCGGTAACAGATTCTGCTTACTTTTTATTCTGCTTTCAAACTGACGCTGCTTACGAACTTCTCTGTTTCTTTCACGTTCTTCAAGCGCTCTTTGAAGACCTTCAATACCTCCCCATATGTCGAAAGCTCGTTGTTCAACCTACGCATTGTAATGACAGGTGAAACCATCATACAGGAGATAAAGCTCACCTGAAGTCGCAAATACAGCTTCATATCACCTCCGCGAGGACTGTGAGGATTTTTCCTCAAAAGAAACCTCAGGGGAGGTTGGCGGGAGTTTAAGTCACAGTCTTTCAGAAGATATAATTTCTTTGCATTGGAACATGTGATCAACTTGTGCTCACCATCACGATCTCTGAAAAAAGGTTTAATATTAAAAGGCGCTAATTTATAAAGAAGCCTCAATTATACTGCTGTATTCAAAATAAAGCTAGTACTTCGCTTTTCAGCAAAAGCAACGTTAGTTCAACACGATGCGCGTTCAGTCTTAGAATGTGCTGACCCATGGATTTTCTAAAGCTTGTTTGTTGACTCCTTCGATGGAAAATTTTGGAAGAATAGACGGTGCAGAAGAGGCGAACGGTAAACTCTGCAACTGCTGCAAAACGAACATCGCCCAAAAGAACTCATTTTCCAGCGATAATTTCAAACAATTACTGCGCTATCCTGTTGAGCTCTTCCACATGCCTTTTTAAGAAATACTCGCGTCATTCTCATACAAGGAATTTAGATATATTACATGGACCATGAGTGCATCCTTAGCTTAGATGACTTCGTTACCCTCTTGATCGTCCTGGCCAAGTTAAGTCTCGTGGGGGAAGGGGAGTTGTAATAACGTGAATGAACTTTAGCTGGTGTGCAAACAGATAAGTTTAAGTTCCGCGAAGACGACCTACAGTGTTTCGTCGTGGAATTCAAACCAACGTACCTAACGGCGTATTCCAGTATTCTCACTGGTAACCTACACATAACCCCGAATACGAAGGCCCAGTTACTCATTTCTTTGTGGAGATACTTCGTGACAGTGTTGCCCCGGTTTAAGCAGTTCACCGCCTGGGCTCATGGGTGACGTCAACCTACACTACCTCGTACGGCTAACGGATGTTGGTCTCACAGACGTCATTTCGTTTACCAGAAGGTTTGACGCTCTGGTGGACTGCGCAATGGTAAACAATTGCGATTATTTTGGCATTAAAAGTTTTGCACGACTAAGTACTTCTGATCGTTATGTTTCTTCGCACATCGTTCGTACGCAGCAAACAGAGGCAACGTAGTTTTGTTCAGGGCAATCCGCGTGCTGCTATTCTGAGATCACTAGATGTTGCATAAAATAGTCAGTTGCAGTGTATAAGGGAACCAACAGACTGGGACGCTATTCACGTCAGCAAGCACGCAGAAGCCATAACGAAGTAGGTCAACTACGCTTTCAATAGCTATTGCCCCCGGTAGAAAATTTACATCATAAATAATGGCTGTCGTTCAGACGGTGCTAAACGGCAGATTCGATAAAGAAAGCCAAGAGAACATAACAGGAAACAAAACAGTCTTTAGACAACTGCGGAGGCAACTGACATCTGAAGTTGTTCGACTCAACCACAACCACTGCCAAATTGTCCTGTACAAAATCGAAGGATAAATGGGCCGCGATCTACTGACTGTACAGTCGGAAACTGAGACACAGGTACAAAGCCCTGGATGCAGATCCTGAGACTCTGAGCAACTATTTACTGCGGTTAATTAATGAGGAAGTATCCAGTGATTCGCTTAACAACTTATCGGAAGCAATCTTTGTGAACCGCAAAATTGGCATGTTGTTGAACACAATTTCGGTTTATAGCGTACGACAGTTCAAAAAAATCAAAGTTTCGTGACTGCAAGGCATAAAAGATTAAATCTCATGGCCTTAAAGTTTTGCGCCGACTCACTTTCTGAAGTCTTAACCGAACTATACAACCATAGCCTAGAAATGAAGAAATTGCAGTATCGGACTGATGACAGACGGTGCGAATATCCCGAAATCCCTAAATCTATCCCAAAATCTCTTCGGCCGTCCTCAATAGCTCACCGCAGACGTACTGCAGTTGTTCCGATTGCGTTCAAATGCTAGCAAAGAATCGCACACTGTCAATTTTGTCAAAGGTATTGGAACATGTCAATCCCTGGCAATTCAGAAAAGTGCGGCGACGCAGAACTCTGGATTCGTTGGCTGCAATCGTCAATGCCGTTGATAGCAACGTCGACGACGGGCAAATATTAGTAAGGAGTGCCTTTTCGGATTGCAGCTCAGCCTGCAACATGCTGCCAAGAACTCAGCTGCTAACATTGTTGGTCAGCATCAGTTTGTAGCCTCACACTGTAAACATTCTGGCCACATAATGCTCGAGATTCCCACAGACTGTTTAAACCAACAAGAAGAAATCTATCGCACGCTTGAAGACGGGAGGGGTCGCATAAAGATCCTCTTTGCCACCTGCACTTTTTTCCTTATGCAAAGTCTTATGTTCCCGACTTGTGATCAGTTCGAGATCATTCCGCATACGGATGCGAATGATGCGTGTGCAGACTTTGTAGATCTGCGACATGAGAGTAATTGGTCGATAGTTCTTAAGGTCACTACAGTAGCCTTTCTGAATGCGAAGAATCACTCTTAATGTCTTCCACACTTAAGGCGACTTGTTTTTCTCAATGTATTTCGTAAAACATGTTTTGGCAGACACTTTAAATACGTAACCTTTAACACATAAACAAATCATATGATAGTTTCTGCCTAATCAGAGGATACTGTTGTAAACACGTCGAGATTAAAATTACTCTTAGAGAGAGAATTTATTTCTTTAACACAGGTTTCGACGGCACAAAGAAGATGTGATTCAATTCGTCAAACTCTGACTAGACTTCATATTTCAACTAACATCCACTGATAACACAAACGAAAATACCGATTCGATATCAAACTTTTATGAGATCACATACGGAAAGAGACTAACACGGTTAATTGTACTGTTGTTCGATGACACGTTAAAGACGTGCGTTTTAAACGTTGCTTTCAATCGGTATCACGTGAAACGCGCTAAAAGATATCTACGATTAAAGATAACCCTAACATCACATGATTTAAATGACAAACATCATTTGAAATAACGAAATTCAGGGCATAAAATCACTACAGATGATGAAATAAAAGTCAAATTACCTGCATGCATCGCAACATCGGTGTCCGAATTTGTTAAATAAGAATGAGTCGCTGAAACACTTTCCGCAATCGATGCACTCCAAACGAGCTGATCCACTTTCAGAAGGTTTGTCGCCCTCATCTGCATAGTCAGGTTGAAATTCTTCGACGACAGAAGAAGACTCCGAACCCTCCTCAATGAAACCACCAGCTTTACGATACGAAGGCTGGCATGCTCTATAAATAGTTAATCTGCTGCAAAACTTCAATAAAACCTGAAATCAAGTGCTGGATTTTTCTAAATATGGGCAACACGCATCTGTAATCTTAATTGGCAATTTGCTAAATAAGCTAGAAGGTAGCTAATGCCTAAAGTAACGAATAACCTTCTCGAGAGGCAGTGGCGCAGAGATTCTCAGATATCATCTTTCACAGTTGCCACTGTGCTTCGGAGCAGCCGGACGAGTAGCAGGTCGACTAAAAGCGGGTTACAAGTCGTAGTCGACTGATATGCGCAAAATACAAACAGCATGCAGTTTTGATATAGTCACATTACACCAACCTGATTTACGAGACCTATGGCGAAACGGTCTGATTCGTGCGTTCAACGGCCATACAGCACTTCGCTTTAAGACTCACATGATAGCTGAGTATCGCAAGTCATCGCAAAATATAAACCGCGAATAAATAATAGACGAATAACCTTCTGCGAGTACTTATAAAAATGTTTAGTGCAATAAATTAGAATAACGAGTGTTGCTATGTTACGGCTTAAAAAAGTTCAATAAACTCAAAGAAAGGAGAAGGATGACAAAAAGCGCAAGCATGACCAAACATGGCCATTATTCATCGACAGATGGGATATAATGATTTTTCATGATCAATACTGTCTGAGATACATTTTTTGCCTACATGTTTTAGTTTATGCTGTGACTTTGAGGTATGCTGAGGCGTCGGCAATAATACAGTGAAAACAACACACTACCATGTGAACTGAACAGCAAATTAGTTTCAGTATATACCGGTATGATGTGAAGTATACATTAATTCTATGCTACACCACTCATGTAACTTCGCTGACACTACATGGCATAATCACATCATTCATTCAGATGCTGCTGGAGGCCTAGGAAACGTTTAAAGCATGTCATACTTTCACAGAGAGTTGACAGTTCATTCTTACAGCGCTTAGAACCTATAGGGGTACTGAACGGGAAACATAGCAAACTTGGTGTCATAAGGTGGATAAAGCGAGTTCTTGTTCATAGTTATCAAATGAAAGCAGAGTTTAAACAGCAGAATAACCAAGATTTACGACGTCTACCACTAACAACGCCATAACCGAATTCAAATACACGCAACAGTATAACAATTGACCAGCTGTTGCATGCCCAACAGTACAACTTTGTGAAAAAAATTCTAAATATTTTGCTCACCTGTAAAGTTCTTCCGCAGTTTTGTAAGGTTGAATCCTAGCGGATGCGCCTTTGTCTGAACGAGTATGCATCAAATGAGCTAAAACAATTACATTATAAATGACACTTCGAACGGCTGTGATATACATTTTTTAACCGCTCACAGTTTTTAAATCACTTTATACATGACATGCTAATATGGTAAAGCAATATGCGACGATCAATGCCATGACCAAAGAGGAATCAAAGAATTAAATTAGAATGACGGCGGTGGCACAGCGTGAAAGAAGCCAAACTCCGGAAAATGGACAATCTCTGTCGTAACCGCGAACTCCCTTATGAAAGTAATTTATTCCATATTGCAGAGACATCCCATTCGACGCAACCAGCAGAGACAGGGATAATAAGTCGTTTGCTTACGAAAAACAGGGACAACGTGGTCTGGTCTGATCATACCAAAATGGACGAGATGTATGGCCATGCCATGCTATATATCGTCCAGGCTGTACACGTTTTGGAGAAGAAAGTCGAATG